TTGGCCATATGTCTTGCAGGTGGCCCTGTTTGTGGTTGCATAAGTATAGGCCATGCAAGAACAATTGGTCCAGCATAGTCTTTGGCAATCATATGAAGTCAAGTTATAGCTTTCATCATATTCATACTCATCCCCATACATGCTGTAAGAACTCTTATAAAACCCAGTCTTTCCTGCAGTCCAACTCTTCAAACTCATATTCAGCACAACCAGAACCATTGTCCTTGATTGAGCGGCATTGGACATCTAACTGCAGAGTTGAACCCATAAGCTGGCCGTTTAAACCCATCATCAGAGCTGGGGTTGAATCATACGTTCTAGTTAAATATGTGAAGGATTGCTCGGTCTCATTAGAAATATAGTAAAGGCGAACATCAGGACCCGAATTCTGTAGATCTGTGTTCTCGAATCCAGCATTGATCAGCCATGATCCACTCCTCCAGTGGATGTTCCCTCGCCTCAGGATGACCATTTGACCTGTGCCATTTGGGTCTGCTTTTAATGTGAAAGACCCATCCGCTGGTAGAGCTTCGTTCCTCCAAGAAGTGAGTGACCATCGATGCCCGGTCTTGAGATTAATCCCCAGTTTCATCCCAGGAAGAAGGGTGTCTGTTGGGTAATCAAAGCTTTGCCATAAAACCCGCTTAACTGACCCATCTAGATGCAGTTCCTGAAGTACCAAGTTTCCAGTATCCAACAGGGTGGCACTTGCCTTGCGTGTTACTACTGGAGTAGGACTGAAGAGATCAACCACAGTGCCTCCACCTGATAAAATGCTCAGCTTTCCGTGGATATCTATCGTGAGCTTTCCGTATACATCTTTGCTCGGATTGTTTCTGTTTGCTACCCAAACTGCCTTATCTTCTTTCTGCAAATTTCCGGACCCATCTCTAGCATAATCAATCATTCCTAAGCGGTGGTTGTATATCTCTAATCTAAGGATTTTCCTTTTTCCAGAACCATGGGGGCTGTAGAATATTCCTAAATAAGGGCTTATGGTACTTCCAAACCCAAAGAACTTCAAAGTAAAGACCTTATTTGACGAAATCAAATAGTCCCAGTTCTTCAGCTCTTCACCTTGCAGTAAGGTATCTGTTTCTGAGTGACAAGGATTGCTGAAAAAAAGAGCAACATAAAGTGAGGATGATCAGGAAGATGCTTTTGTCTGCCATTTTTTTCAAGGAACAAATGGAATGACTTGAACACAAGCTCTTGCATTAATGTGATTTTTATAAACAATACTCTTATGACACTTTTTTTTTTTTTTTTTGACTTGGCCTTCAACAACTCCTGTTTTACGTTACACTTAGTCAACAGAAATAGACAGCCCTTTAATGTCTTGATGCAATAAGAGCCTTTATTAGGTTTTATTGATACTTTTTTTTTTTTTTTTTTTTTTTTTGACTTGGCCTTCAACAACTCCTGTTTTACGTTACACTTAGTCAACTGAAATAGAGAGCCCTTTAATGTCCTAGTCAACGTATTCACGAGGAGATAAAATATGAGTTTAGGGAAGAAATTGAGGCCCAAAAATAAAAAATTGCCAAACGACATCCTAAAACTCACCTAAGGAAGTAACCTACCCTACTAATTAGACTTTTTGCCACTTGATTTTTCTGATTTGGTTTTGGTACTTTAAAATCGATTTAGACTTTGACATTTGATTTTTGTGATGTTTCAGTTCTTTGAAATCAAATATGAATCTTTATTTTGATAGTTGAATTAATATTTAATTTACTAGTTGAATTTTAATTTAGCTTAGTATAAAAATTGGAATTTCATTTTGTAAATTCTGGTCGGCAAAACTATTTATATAAGTCATCAGTGACGGATTAAAGGGTTCCCTGAGCTAATCAACAACGGATACAGATGGTAGTAATCGAAGATTTAATGACGAAATCTAGAGGTTGCATGAACAATAGGTGTCGTTGCTAAATCTGTCGTTAACAATTAGCGACAAGGGTTTTTCGATGGCCAATCCTTTAACCTGTCGTCGGTAACTTTCAGCGACGGATTAGCGACGTAATTGTCTGTTAATTCTACCTCTATTTTTAGTAGTGATTTTTGGATCCATGCTGTTACATGATAAGGTATATGGCTCGTAGCACATACACTTTCACCAAAGTAGACCGATTGTGAACCCTTCGATGCATGCCAAATGGCCGAATGATCGGATCAAATAGTTGAAGCCGAACCTTTAGCTAAAGGATTAAATTATTTCTTAGAACGGAACCATTCTTGAGAAGTGCAAAGGTTGTGAAATATTATTAGTGTTAGTAAATGAACAGTGTTCTATCAATAAAAACTCTTAAACCTATGAGAAATGACCCATGACATTGCCTGCGCACACATATATGTACCTTCGGCCTCTCGAGCATATAATATTGTCTGACCAAAACTTGCTCGGTAGGAGGTTCTCCATTTCCCAAGAAAAAAGGCATAAAAGACCGAAGGAACGAGATTCAGAGGTGCGTACCTTAATCATCTTATATATTTTGTTATGAACTGGGTTATAAGAACAGATTCAATAACATAAGAAAACAACCAACAGCTTCAAATATTGATTGATAACCTCAAATATACGCAAATGATTATAAGAACAAATGATAGGTTAGCTGATTCGAGATAACTACTCTCCCAAGAAATAAATTCCAGATTTCACAAAAAGATTGATTCCTCACTCCCTACTCTCACTACCCTTTTATACTATCTGACCTAACAAACTAAATAATATAAAATACCTAAATTGTCCCTGAACTAATAAGATACTCTTTAATTTGATGATTTCCCATATTACCCCTAACTAACTTATTTTCCTAATATCAGAGGTATAACAATACCCCACCCCAAAAGAACCACCTTGTCCTCAAGGTGGATAAAATAATGCATAACACTCAAATTCTCTCAGGTGGCTTCTTTTTCTTGCCCTTAGCCTTACCATGATCTGCAACCACCACAACAATCACCACATACATTCCACTCACTTGTTCCATTGCACCCATGATCATCTTAACAGCTTCCTCATCAGCCTTGCATGCCACATCAGTAGTCGCAACATTGCCAATATGCAAATTCTTTAGCTCTTCATCTTCATCTTGATTCTTTCCTCTTCGTACGATCACCGCTTGAAAATACCACCCCTCAACTCCAAACTTCTCTAGGAACTCCACATTCGTCCTCATACTTTGTTTTTCCATAGCTAAAGAGTTAGTACTCTCTTTCCCTGGCCAAATTTTAGTAGTTGCACCCTTAGAAATAGTTCCAACATTGTCAATCATGTCACCCAATATAAAAACTTTTCCTTTCCCATTGCTATTTAAGTGCATCACCTCAGCCACATTGCATCTACAACCCTCTTTTTAATTAATTGCCAAAGGTGCATCAGACAACTTTTTGGCAAAAGCACTCGCCCTAGCAACTCCACCGACATCAGGCGACAACATTACCAAATCATTTGAGCAAATTGACTTGCTGGCAAGATAATCAAGAATAGCATGCTGACAGTAAACATGGTCAACTGAAATATCAAAATAACCCATTGACTGCCCATAATGAAAATCACAAGCAAGAACACGATCCACACCTTCTTCCATAATGAGATTTGATACTTGTTTTATAGCAATAGATTCGTGCCATTGAGTCTTTCTATCTGCTTCAACATATCCAAAATAAGGGGTAAATGGTGTTACTAGAAGCGTGATGAATATGTTTTTGGTTAATGCCCTACTACTGACATCAATTGTTACTAGAAGCGTAATGAGAATTTCGTATGCAACTGATCCCATATCTATTTTAGCTAATTCTTCTATATACAACCATAAATAATCTTGCACTATCTTCTCAACCATTTCAAACGTCAAGTGTACAATGTTTTTATGGTTATCATAAGTTGTTGCTATGAAGACCCTGATAATGTTTTTTAATCCAGACTTGACATTATTGACATGAGACTGAACCATTTGAAAGACACATCCGCTGATCAATTCTCTAATTATAACAGTAGCAACATCACAAACAGACCAAGGAAAGTAAGAATTAGGCATACATTTCTGATTTTTTGCTCCGAGGGCATTTACTAGCACTTTTTCCTTATAATCCCATTTCATTGCTCTGCCTTCCCTCACAAAGGATGGTTGGATTTTCACTTTCAAGTAATCTCTTTTTTGAGAGAAGTAAAAATCTGGTGCAGTTGGTTCTATTAAGAACCGTTTACAGAATGCATCCCACTTCTTTGCAGACTCGATAATTTTATCAAGAGATTCCAATGAAGGCATTACAGTACTAAGTGGATTAAATGTCGAGTCTTGTGGTGAATTTGCAAATCGTACCAACAGATCTGTCCCAAAATACCCAGCCTCCAACCAACCGATGATGTTGTAACGCCCGCAGATTCGGGCTAGTCAATTTAAAGACAATGAGCATCAAAAATGACTTTTTGATGGAAGATTATTTAGAAGGATTAATCTTAACCAAGTTATAGTATATGTCACAAGGGTTCCGTACATATAAATAACGCCTAAATCCGAGTTACAACGAAGAATTTATGACCTGTCGAAGGTTTACGGCAAAATCGACACGACACTGGGAATCGTAAAAAGTGAATTTAAGATAAAATGATTTCTAGCCTTAGCAATCTAAAAGAAAGTCATAGTATATGTTAACCCAAGAGTGTGCATAAAAATAACGTCCAAATCTGACTTCGTATGAGGAAGTTATGATTTTTCTAATATTTAGTATAACAGTGCACAACCCGAAATTCGAATTTTAGATCGGTCGATTTTTAACCAAAATAGTCTAAACGGGAACTGAATATCTCATTAATAGGAGCTCAACGATAAAAAGACAGTCGAAAACGGAGCTTGTATGCGAAAGATATGGATGAAACTTAGTCCTTACTCTTCGAGCGCGACGAATTCGATACAGTTTTGTAAATCTGAGATAGAGTGAGAATTAGCCGACGGAATCTAAATGAAAGTTGTAGTACTCGTAAATACCAACGCGTGGATATAAAGAACGTCGATAATAGAGCTCGTATGCGAAAGATATGGACGAAACTTAGTCCCTACTCTTCGAGCGCGTTAAATTCGATACAATTTTGCAAATCGGAGATAGAATGAGAATTAGCCGACGAGGTCTAAATGAAAGTTGTAGTACTCGTAAATACCAACGCGTGGATATAAAGAATGTAGAAAACGGAGCTCGTACATGGAAGATACGGAAGAAACTTATGGCCTACTCTACGAGAAAACCCCTATAAATAAGAGTTGAACTCTTCATATTTTCTTCACACCATAAGCCTTTCTTTCTCTCTCTAACTTCTCTCTAGACTCCCTAAACCCCCGTAAAGCCTAGGAAACTCCCCTAGCGCTAGAAGAAAGCCCCGGAGCGCTCGACGGCTCCGAGAAGAAGAGCTTTTCGGCTCGGAAACGCTGCTCCAGCGAAGCCTAGTTTTTAATAAAACCCGCTGTAAGTGAGATACGCCTACCATACTTTAAATATAGCTTATATATAAATATAATATCGTTA